CACGTGGGCTCCAGGGTCCGGACCCGGCGCGGCCTGTGTCCGTGCGGCCGCAGGGCCATAACCGGACCGCTCGCCCGCAGAACCAAGGCCAACATGGAGCGCACTTTCATCGCCATCAAGCCGGACGGCGTGCAGCGCGGCCTGGTGGGCGACATCGTCAAACGCTTCGAGCAGAAGGGGTTCCGCCTCGTGGCCATGAAGTTCCTTACGGTTCGCGCCCCCCTTTCCCCCCACAGGAGCTCGGTCGCATGGGCTTTTCCGTCTCGGTTTGTCTGCGTCTCTTACGGTCGGATCCCAACTTCGCTAATTTTGTCTTGTGCGGGAATTCCTTTGCACTGTGCCCTCTGCCCTCTGCCCTCCGACCCGCCGCTGACCCTTTCCCGAGCCCGGTAGCCCAGACGCCCTTGGGGAGGTTAAGCGGAGGTAACGTGACTCCTGCTCCGGGCGGGTTTCTTTCCGTGGCTGCGAAGGACCGTGGCGGCAGCCTGCCTATCAGTCGCAGGAGGGCAGCAGGGAGTGAAGAAAGCCTGAGCCCAGGCCCAGGCCCAGGCCCCTGCCGCTGGCCCACGCGGGTCTACCTCCGCCCGGAAAGAAGGCTTGCAGCTCTGAGATGATTGAGGTTTTAGCTGGGGTGTCCCTTCCTCTGCCCTTTTGTTGCAGGTTCCCTTTGCCGTAGGCCAGTAATTGTGTTTTCTACGTTAAATTTGGGGTACCCAGATATGGACCTTAAGGGATAAATGTCTAAGTATTGAAATTTCAACCAAGCTCATCAGTGAGGAGAATGTTCTCATTAACATTTAAAGTGTTTAAACGGGCATTGTGAAGGGCCAGAGGGCTCTGATATAACCTCCGTTTGCCATATTCTCTGCAATTGCAGCCAGCACTTAACTCCCTAAATTTAGATCCTCAAACCACCTACTTTAAGGATTAACTATAACATCCATAACGTCATTGACATGATGAGGGTGGCTTTACATGGTCAGGGCAATCCTGCTAAAATGGGGTCATTTTCTTGGTTTGGATGAGATTTTTTGTTTTATATTCACATTTTATGAATATGGGCTAAAATACTAAATTAGACTTTAGAGAACCTAGCTTGTTAGTTTGGGAGGTTCTGAGAAGGGGATGGAACCATATTTGAGCCTTTCCAGTTTACTTCCTAATTGATAACCTCCTTTCCTATGCCAGGCCTCTGAGGAACTCCTGAAGCAGCACTACATTGACCTGAAAGACCGCCCATTCTACCCAGGTCTGGTGAAATACATGAACTCAGGGCCTGTTGTGGCCATGGTAAGTGTTTGCCGGGGAGGAGGGGAAACCAAGGGAAATAGGGGCTGGCCGATATATACCTGGGCTTGCTCAATGCCTGCGTGTCCCTTTTTTAGATATCTTCCCCAGCAACTCCACATTCCTTGTTTACAAATGGAGCTTGCTGGAGTTATTTAGTTAACAGAGCAACCAAGAGCTTGGGAGGAAAAAGCGAGGGGAATCAGATCTTAGAAAAAGTTCTCTGTAATCTCATGCTAGAAAAGCTGTCTATTTATTGCTGTGGCATTAATATCCAATTGGGAGTGAAGAGACTAGAAGAGGGTACAATAGGGAGGCACAGAAATTGAGAAGGTAGATCTACTTCCTGTTCACTGAGGATGACCTTTTTGTTCTCCCATGGAATACACTTTCTCCTTTCATGCCAGTCTTTGCCATCTCTTGCTTCAACAGTCTTCTGGATGCCCTTCCCTGTGTTCCTTTTCCAGTTTGATCACTTTTCTCTATCCTTTCATCACAATTTCCTCTCAGTATTTGTGGCTACATAAGGATTCTTCAGTATTGTTTATCTCAGCTAGCCTGGGAAGTCTCGAAGTTGGGTAGACTTTTTTTCTGTATCCTAGCAATAAACTCAGGATGGAGTATGGAGTATTTTATATAGGTCTCTTCTATTTACTGGGGTTAGGGGATAATCATGTCACTGATTGGTCTGGTCGATGTGAGCTGTTCCTAATGGTCCTGATGGCAGATCTCATGCAGTTCTTTTTCCCTACTGTCAAGGTCTGGGAGGGACTGAATGTGGTGAAGACAGGTAGAATGATGCTTGGGGAGACCAATCCAGCAGATTCTAAGCCAGGTACCATTCGTGGGGACTTCTGCATTCAAGTTGGCAGGTAAGTCCTGTGGAGCACTTATAACTTTTCCTCAAAGCTATTTAAATGGGGTGTAAAACAAACATTTTTGGCATATTCCAATTTTAGAAAAATTTAAACTTTTAAATTAGGTGGTAATTCTTTGGATGAAAGTGTTCTTAAATAGCTACTTCTGTAGGCTACTTCAAATTTTAACCAAGATATTTGCACAAAGCAGCTGCACGTGGTGGTAGGTCCTTTGAAACAAAGCAGGAAGTGTAGAGTGTGGGGAACGAAAGGGTTCTTAGCTTTGGATGTGCCCTTTGGGGTGCTGTATCCATGAGTCTGTCAATGTTTTGGTCCCCTCACCTATACAAAATCTATACAGAAACTTTACAGTTATGAAATTCAGGTAAATAAGCCTAAATGTCTTGGTCAGGCTTGTAAGTGTATTAGTGTTGTAAGAAAATGCAGCAGAAAATGCTCTTGATAAAATGAATATATCACATCTAGATCAGGTTTTGATCTTGGTTGGTTTGACTTTTTCAGAATTTGAGAAGGAATGTGGCACGGCATTCTTGGGGTAAAGTACTGTTTTGAAGGGGGAAACTTAGAAAAATAATAAAGTTGAACCTATAATTGTGTTTAAGAGGAAATACTTTGGAGGTAGTCTCCTGCTTCTAGGCAATTCGGTTGAAAAGGTCTGCAGTGGCTATCCTTTGCTTTATCTATTAAACTGACTTTTGCACTTTGAAATGTGCTAATTTGTAATCATTCTTTCTTAGGAACATCATTCACGGTAGTGATTCAGTGAAAAGTGCTGAGAGAGAAATCAGCCTATGGTTTAAGCCTGAAGAATTGGTTGACTACAAGTCTTGTGCTTTCAACTGGATCTATGAATAAGAGGTGGACAAAGCATCAGTCCATTTTGACACCGCTTGGATGTGTCCCTGGACACAGCTCATTCCATTGACTTGGAAGCAGTAGGATCGATCTTGCTTTTCTAAAGCATATTTACCAATAAAGCCTTCGGAAACTGGGTGCAGCCTTCTGTGCTTACTTGATACCAAGCTGGAAGAAGTGATTTGGCTAGAGTAGCATTATCCAGAACTTATTACTCCTGCTTATTGTGGAAGAAGGCTCTGATGCTTCTCAGCACCTGGGTATACTTCAAGACTGTAGGTGGGAAAGTAGTGAGGCTGCAGAGGGCCCTGTGTGGCACTGGTAAGGAAACTAATAAATAAGGAAATAATGAACATACTCTCTCAACCTCTTTGGCTATAGAAATGTATATTTCTGTACAATTTGTTGAAACTTGATAGAGTGAAACAGACTAGTCATCCAGATTTACACTTTTATTGACTGCAAATTGGACAAGTTATATATGAGGAAATGAAGCCTAAAGACATCTGTAAAATAAGGATAATACTGCTGCAATGCAGGATTTAAAGAAATGTGTATAAAGCAGTTAACCTAGTACCTGGCCCACAGCTGGTGCACAAGTTATTCCCCGCAACCCTGTTGGTTCTATCTTCTCTGGCATGAGTTATGCCTGTTTCCTGGGCCAGAAGCAGTGAGTAGTTACAAAATTCATATTCTCTGCTTTTAAGGTTAATTTGGCTGGATTGGTACAATTGTAAAATGATGCCAAAGAACACCTATCACCTGGAGTCTGGTTTAAAAACTGGAGATTATAGAAATATGTGGGTTTATGAATAGCTGTTTTCTGTTAGGAAAGTAGTGAAAGCTAAATGCCACTTGCATGAGTCTCAGGATTACATTTTTAATGCATACTACTACACTACAAGACGACGATAAGGAATACACTGACAACTTGGTATAAATGCCAGGATTCTAGTTTCAAATCAATAACTGACGAAAAATTTAACATTTTCTATATATTCGACAGGAACTTAATCCCATGTTTAGAGATGGTACATGCTTCTAGATACTGGCGTGGGCCTGGGGATTTGCATTTTAATGCATACTCCATGATCCTTATGCACACTGGCTACGGTACTTGAAGTAACAGCAGTAGTTAAGTGTGGGCTTACTCTGGGCCGGAGCTGTTCTGAGAACTTTGTATGAGTTGATTTAACCTTCACAACTCTTAGGAGGTTTTTACTAGTGTCCCATTTTACAATTGAGGAAACTGAACCATGTTACATGACTAATAAGTGACATGAGAAAGTCCTGCACTTGGAAGGTTTACGTGAAGTCAAATTTGGAGTGGTGAGAACTGAGAGGAAGGATTCGGACGTTAGGATTTCATAGAATTGAATGAGAATAAGACCATGGTGAGATTTAAAGTACTGCCTCTAGAGGAAGGTTTTGGGTTTTGGACCTAGTCCTATGTACCAGCTAGGTGTGTAAAGTGGACAATTTATGCAGAACCTTTCATGCGTTTAATAAAGCTTTCATTTGAACACAATAAGCACATCATTTAAAGTGCATCATTTTTTACATTATCTATTTGTTGTCAGTAGGCAAGCCCTAGTTTGGCCTGCTTGTGAGGCCTGGAGTTTTTAACAGGCTGACAAGGGTTACCCCCAGCCTCAGTAACAATCTGAAAAAAGGAAATAGTTTTCTCCCTATCTCAGGAAGCTGGATAAACAACACAGATAAAAAGTTACTTGTTTGGGGGAAACACTTGTTACTCTTAAAACAATATTCTGGGCATAAAGTACACTGGGAAACGAGCTTCCCAAGAGGCATGTAACGGTTTAAAGAATGTCTATTTCTAAAGGAGAGCCAATCTGTGATTCTAATTTATTAGGGCAACTGTTCAACCCATTTAAGGTAGAAAACAGGGCAGAAATTGGGTTCTATTTTTGTTTCTCTTGGGATGCACTGTATTTTTCTAAAGTGAGATGAAATTAACTCCCGAAGAGGCCCAATACAAGTCATTACTACCTTACGTCCATAAAATTCGGAGGCATCTTTGCATCCCGCTTAATGTAAACAGCACCAGCTGGCTCAGAAAATTTTACATCTATGAACTTTGCTGCTGAGGTTATCGGAGCTAAAATACAAGAAGTCCTCCAGCAAGCAAGCCAACCCTGAAACACTATGTTCTAACTAATGTGATTTGAATCCCCCATAAGAGGTTCACACTCATCTCTGCTCCTGCTGTGGTTTTTGCCTTTTCCCTCAGCTGTCTGTGAAACCATGGCTCAAATGAAACCCTGCCCATACATCCACCCATATTCTCTTCCCAAGTAATAAATTCTTACTCACTCACGGGCTTGCATTATATTAGATTACCGGTTCTGTGAGAAAGAAACTGATCTGACTTCCACAGGGCCGCTGACTTCTTATAGAAGGCAGTTGTTATTTTGAATCAATAAGGAAATCCCTCAAAGACCAAAGAATATTAAAGAATTGCTCAAATACAACTTAACTTTAACATTTTATTTTGTGTAAAAAAAGGGCAAATTTAGTGAATTATTTTAATCTTGTACACAAAGTTATAATTTTAATGCTTTTCACATCCATGCTGAAAATTTGCAATTTGGTAAAAATGAAAGGAACATAAATTTCTCTGAACGAATTTTTCACGCCATTATATACACTTCCTGAGAAAGTTTCACATACTTTCTCAATGATCACAAGTTACCAAGAAAATAAAAGATTAAATTTGTACAGATATTGGTCTATATATCAAATACATACAGAAATGATGTAAAAACCTTATACAGTTTACTTTGTCCTCTGTCCTCAAAAGATTTGCCCAGGGACAGATGCTTTTCTTTTGTATAAATGACTGTGGCTTTATTTAAAATATGAAAATCAAAGAAAGAAACCCAGTTTAATCACAGTATTTTTAAAATCCCTTCCCAATAGTAAAGGATCATTACCAAATATATAGCACCATAATACAAATATTGATGGGAGAGGGTATTCACATCACGCAAAATTAATAATAATAAAAACAAACAAACACTGAAAACCCGTGTTAGTATCCGTAGAATAAGTTGATAACAGCTTTAGCTTTCCTCATACACAGCAAGGAAAGGGTTAAAGACTTTAACTACCAAAATCCCCAAATAATCCTAACAGGCAAAAAAAAAAAAAAAGAAAAGAAACCAAAACAAAACAAAAAAAAGTACAAACCCAAGGTCAGCAGTACATTTTGAACCGTAAAGATAATGGGGCTATTGTGTTGTACAATTGGAGTTATGGCTAATATATCAATCTCCTCTGCGTTAACTTATTTTCTGTTCATTGGCAGTAGGAGTGCGAGTCTGAACTATGAAGAGGGCTTCAGAATGTGTTTAGACTGTAGGAAGTCCTTACCAACCTTTAACTGTTGGTCATGGGATCAAGACAAGAAACACTTCATGAATAGGTGGGAAATTCAAAAGTGCTCAGAACCTGGTTTTGCTCTAGAACTGGAAGCTTATTAAAACCTGGCTGCAAATGAGCATTTCACAGAACTAATTACCAGGCTCTAAATCAAATCCCTTCTGACTTATTCAGTTCCCCATAGAGCCCCTAAACCCCAGGTACTGGTAGAGCATGCTGTATGATTGGCTTCTTGCGCCCACATCATAGAATCGGAGTCCTGGGTTTAATTCACTAAGCCTGAGGATAAAGATTGTTGTAACTCTTGCTTTGGAAGTATTCTAGGCTTTAAGTTTATGGGAAGATCCTTAAAAGTTAAAGACTTGCGAAGTGTGAGGATGTCACATTTACAGTAGGTCCCTCTCAGTAATGTCGTTTAAGATAAATATCCAGTAATTTAACAGCTGAATTCACATATATTTGACACATGAGAATCAACTTGGCGTTGATATGATCTGCATTTATGCCCCTAAATAGTATTAAGAAATGTTGACATGCGATTCCACACATTCTTAGACTATAAAGTAACAAATTTTACTTCCAGTAGCAACTACAAAATCTTATGTTATTAACCCCTCTTGCATAGAATGAGGTAAACCTGTGCGTATTACCAATGCTATTATTCCCAAAAGTAGAGCAATATTTTAGAAAATAAATTGCTGGTTTTTAACGTTCTATGCATTTTAAAATTCAAACAAAAATCTTACCTATAATGGTCTCCTGGGGCTTTCCATTAACATTTTTTAAAGCATTTCATAGGCTGAAGGACTGTAGATTTTAATCATTTTGATTAATTTCTAATTAGCCCTACCTATATTCCAGAGGAGATGGTCAATATTACCACTCTGAAGAGGCCAGGCTAAGACCCAGAAGCACTTCTAGAACAGATGCAATAATTCCTGAGAGTTTAGTTTATGAACCTCACTGGTAAACGCTAGAGCTCTCTCATTCAGTCACAACTCAGAAAGTTAGAAAATGCAGAGAGCAAACCTTTCACCAATTTACTCTTAGATCCTTTTTTTGAAAGGAAGCCATTTGAATTTTAAAATAGGGAATGTTCACAATGGTCCAAATCAGTTATTATTGTTAAAATTAATTCTGAATACAAATAAAGACAATTCATACTATATATATGGAATTTTAAGAAAATTAAATTCTCTTTCAAATTAGTTTTCTAACAAATCCAGGATAGTTAAAAGCAGAGCTGGAATGATTTTGAAATCTAAACTTATTTTGGCTTTAAACAACTTTGAATCTGGTAATTCAGAACATCTGTTTTGGGGTGTGGTTATACCAAGTATTATCTCACAGACGGAGGAAAGTGGCAGAGAACTGATCAGAATCCCTTTTGGGGGGTATTTTTTAGTTAAGAAAAATGAAATAAACTTAAGACAATATTGCATTTTCCCCAACCCCTCAACATGTAGACTGACATCTTGTATATCTTGTCAACCATTCCAGTTTAACACTTTAGTGTTAGGATAATTTAAATCATTTTTTAATTAAAGGAGAACATATAAAAGTATCGAGAGTTCTTCCAGTTTCATATAGAACTCTAAATAAATTTTCACAGAATGAAAAACATTTCTGTACAAACATTTAAAATGGGCTGCAATAAAATGCCAACAAGCAGAATTGATTCCCCCTTCCATGATCTATGTGGTGATGAACCCTCCTCCACGAGGGGGTTAAGTTGCATATTTCTGCAGCAAAGGAAGCTGGAGATGTGACTGGTCTAACTTCTAAAATCCCAAAATCTCCCAACAAGTACCAAAAAGGTTCATTTGTAATGACAGTTCACTTGCATTTACAACTATATCCTCCTTAAATCATTTCCTTCAATCCTGCTACCTAAACTTTAAATCTTACCAAAAAAGTTAGAATTTCAGTTCTTGTTAACAATGCACATAAATCCAAACGTGGAAAATATTACAAAATTCTTTCAAAAGCTTCAAATACAACACAAAAATTGTCCATCTTTATAAATTGAAAAATTTCCCCCCACGACTAAAATAGTTTCCCCACCCACCTGAAAAATCTGGAACTGAAATTTTCTATGTTTAGCAAAATGTCCCAGTACAATAGCCCCGCTGTACAGCTGGATTGATTACAAATCAGTCCTGTGTAAAAGTCTTCCCCTCCCACCCTCAGTTCTGAGCCACCTCAGGGCTCTTGTTTAATGTAGAAGTTGGCAGAGCCATTGCTTTCCTGATCAGATGCTCCTTGGAGGAAATTATAATCCTCTCCATCTATTAATTCTTCCTTCAGCTGCAATGTAGTCACTGCATGAAAGAGAGAAATGTAAGAGATGTTATGAAGCCTTTCTAGAATACTCATATTGCTTTTAATCTTTATGTTTGATCAGATTTACGGTTAATAGGACTTCTTCTTTTCTTCAATAACTCTTAAAATTAACCCCCTGAAGTATAGCATTTAAGAAATTTTAATTTTCAAAGAATATTTGTAATTAAGTTCCAAAAAAGAACAATATGGCATATCAGACACTGCAAAATGGACATCTTCAACAAAATATTCCAAGGTAATAGTAATCACTAATTCTTATGATTAAGTATTCGCTTTTATGTCTACACAAACGATGTATTTCTTGCATGGTTCTTAAATATAATATTTAATAAACGCGATAACTAAGACTTTAAGATCTTATTATCTCCAAGGAGTACACCTTTATTGAAGGCTCCCCACAGAAGAAAACAGATAAATCTGACATTATTAAATGCTAAATTAGAAATACAATACAAATTATATAATTTACATATTTATAAAATAAATCTGATATTAGATAAACACCTACATTAAAATTAAAATCATCTGAGGTAAAACTAAAAACTTCCTGACATCAGCAATGAGAAAATCACTGGCACAAAACGGTTAACATAACCAATGGGATCACTTAACAGTTCTTATCTGATGACTGGCTTTTTAATGAAAACAAACCAACAGTATAGGCAGTCCTCAATTTACGAACAGGTTATGTTCTAATTGGTCTTTATTTTTACGGAAAAATAAATAATTATTTTTATTTTTCATTTACCAGTATTTTCAGTGGGGTTTACATTTCTGAATAGCCACTCAAGTCATGCTAGTGAGAATTCCTAGTGACAGCAGAGTGCTTTTTAATACCTAGTCTGGATGGTACAGGATGAGGACAAAGGAATTTTTTCTTTGCTGGGTCCAGCACTGGTCTTAGGCAAAAATTTTAGGTTGCTTAATTATGAGATTTTCCTAACTCTTTATTAACCCCTCTTAAATTACTGTCCCTCAACACAATTACCCAGTAACGTCAGATCTCCCTAAATCCTTTCCCTGTGGCTTACTCCCTACTTTCTAAAGAACTCCCTTTTGAAAATTACTTCTCTATCTTTTTAATGAAGGTATCTCAGTTAGGTGTTAAAAACTAGTCTTAATAACTAACCTCTGAGATGTGTTCAGGTTTCTTAAAGAGTTATTGTTTAATCAAAACTGAGTTGGTAGCTTCAAATAATTTAAAGATCAGGTGATGTTTTATGTTAACATACTCACTGGAGTCTAAGCCCACGGTGAGCAGTGCTAACTTTTGCTTCTTCAGCACAGAGATCTGCTAAATCAGAGGTCACAAACTGTGCTTCCCCCACTTCGCCTGTGCCCCATGGTTCTTTGAAATTTGACTGAAAATTTTGAAACAAAGAGATTTCACATAAAACCCTGAAAAGTAGGGAGACCTAACAACATGAGGCTAGCATTCTTGAAGGGCTATGATCAGTGGAAACTGATTGGCTGTTATCTGCTTCATGTGTGGCAGCTTAATGCTTGCCACACATACATGTGTACAAAGTGTGATGCACTGAGATAATCAACTTGCTCCTGCGGGCAAATGGCTCCAACTAAAAAGTAAACATTTTTTGTTTCTTCCACGATGGATCTTCTCATTACAATGGAGTGAGGGGATGAACGTATATGGAAAGTAAATTGGGAACTGCTTTTATGGAAAAAAATGTTAATTTATGAAAGGAATCAGAGTATTTAGATGAGTAGTAAGCCAACTAAGTTTTCATAAAGCAATAACTCGACAGTGTCACCATGTAGAACAATATTAAAATAGCTACACTTTTAAAGTGAAATAGTGCACTCACAGAAAAATAATTCATGTCCTGATTTTAGTTACAAAATTACTAACTAAAAGACTGACATCTTATTTAATAATTAAAGAATAATCTTATCAGAGATGCTAATTTATTTTACTTAACTTTGCTACTTGTTTTGATATGACATTAAAAAAACAGCCCAAAGACAGAAAAGCGAATACACTATAATAACAGCAGATAAACACCAGACTGTTGAAAAGTAAAACGAACAAGACTGTGCAGTTCTTTCTTTAAAAAATTACTTAGTACAATAAAAATGCTTTTATGAAGAATCTCAAGTATATAATAGTTATCCTTCAAATCTAACCAACATGCATTAATTGTTAAGGACATTTGAATAATACCACGAAAATAAACACATCAAAAACAAAACAAAACAAAACACAAGTTTCATTAAAGGTGCAGTACCCACAATAAAAGGTTGATTAAAATAATCTTATTATATGATGATCAGATGGCTAAATGAATGAAAAAAGAATTACTGTGCTACAAGACCAAACATGTTCCATTCAAACAGATGTATTTTTTTTAATGTAAGAAAGATTAAGTTGAGATTCTAAAGCACATCCTGAAACTATCTGCATTTACCATTAACAACAAATTTCTGGGTTACACTTCTACTCATGTTAAAATATAGAAATGATGTGCTTAAAAAAAAGCAACTCAAGATAATGGTGAAACATTCACTCAGATGTGGAATGTTTTAATGCAAAGTTTCACTGTTTTCATGGAACCTAAAGTAAAGCCTGTCTGGTATCTTCACATTAATCATTTCTCCTCTCCGGGCCTTATTCTCAATGAAGGACAGATGAAATAAAATAGATCTTGTGGCTAAATTTCGCTTTCTATGAATGCATTTTCTTAGCTGTTTTTAAAAGGAAGTCACTTTGTTGACTCTAATCACTAACATTTCAGGAGATTAATGGAAATCACGTTTTCCTAGCAAGAAGTCTCTCAATAGCTAATCAAGCTGTAGCTTTTAGATAGTCAAGATAGCAACATATAGTCCCTACAGAGTTTAACCAGGGTAAAATCACACCAGTCTCACGGATGTGCCCCCCAGCTCAGAAGACACTAAAGACCCTGGAGGATGAAGGAAGTCAACAGAGGCCTGTTGCTTCCATCCTGTGTGCCTACTCTTAGTTCTTGGGTTTTGCCAATCCTAGAAGTTCTGTTTTATGGGAATCAATAAGCTCTCACAAAAACGTGACACATGCCTTCAAAATCAGTCTAATGCTTAAAGAAAATATACTTAAAATCCAATAAAAATTCAAAGATATTCAGAGCTCATTAATAGCTACAGTTACTTAGGTTAAAGAAGACTATTTCATAAATAACAAGTACAAAAAGAAAAAAGTTAGAAATAAACAAGAAAAGAAATTGAAATGTTCTTTAGATAGACTCTGAAAGTTTTCCATTAAGGAGCAGAAACTTGGATTTGAAGTCCTAATCTATTTTTCATACGAAAGAGGTACAGTAATTTGTTTTAGATATAAGGATATTAAGGAAACAGTTTGGGAATGATCAAGATGACCTATTACACTATTAGTGGGGCAAAAGCTAAAGAATACATCTTAAAATGGGGGGAAAAAAAAAGGCTGATATTTTTGAGATGCAAAAATATTACCAAACCAATTAGCAGAGAAATAAGAAAAGAGAGTTAGGTATTAAGTCCCACCTGTGTTTTCAATGTATAAAGGCATTTTAAAGAATGCTGGTTAGATAAAACAATTTGGTTTAAAAGCAATAGTTAGGATATGGCAGAATATATGCCAAGGCCGATACTACTCTGGCTTTCAAGCTATCTGATCTGTACTCACATCTAAAGTTCATTGCACGCATGGGAAGCCATTCTGATATGTTTGTTCTTAACAATTACAAAGGGCAAAACTTCTGCAGTCTTCCTTACAATCTACCAGCTTGGCCTAACATTACTTATTTTTCCAAAGCACTAGTTAAATTAAATTCAAGTTAAATGTAATTTACTTAATCACTATAAATATACAAAAGTGAGGTTATGGAAATTAATTTTACTCAAATTCAACACCAAAACTATTGGATTTCCAAGTCCACATTATTCAACTGAGGATTGTGGTAAATGTTACTATGAGAACTACTCAACACAAAACACATTCTGTCTAATGAATGAGACGCTATGGAATGCTATGAACAAAGCCTCATCTTTGGATCTGATTAATCAGATCAATTCCTAATAGTGTATTTCTACCCCGAGTCAAGTCGCACAGAATTCTGCAATGTAAACGTTCAACCATTTTAACGAAACCATGAAATAGTCCAAGTTGTCTCACAATTCCATAAACTGAAATTATAGCTTTACCCTAATTTGAAGCTCAGAAGTGGTTTAGAACAAAATAAAAATCCTTTCCTGATGATTCGTTTTAGTGAAGTGACTACCAAGGACTAGTGAAAATGAATTTTTTGGTTGAAAGAAAAAGAAAAATTTAATGAGTCAGCATCTGTCATGCCAGACCATGCTTTGTCTCCCACCACCCCTCCCCAGACTTTTACCCTCTGTAGTACCTGAGGTGCTGATGTGACTAATTACCTGTTTTGAGGCTGGGACTGAACTCTTGGCTAGTGCTGGGAGGTGGGAAGGCCTCCAGGGCTGTCTGTGCTGGAAGAGTTCGATATGGAGGAGGAGTTAACTCTTCATCACCAGAGAAGCTCCTCCGCACCCCACCTGTCAGGGGCAGGCTCGACAAACTGACAGGCTTCTTCCCCACTGGCATCTTCCTCTCTAAATATCAAGTCAAACTAAAGTAAGCTTTTACTTACATGTGTGGCAAGAAAAGTGCATTATATAACTAGGAAAGGTTGTGTTGCATAGGATACTCTGAAAAGAGAACCAACTATGCAAGGTTTGTATTTCTGAAAACAAGGACTCTGTGTGTGTGTGTGTGTGTGTTGAGGGGGGAGATTTTTTCTAGTCTCTGAGAGTCTAGTAATTCTGGTCCCTCTCAAACTTAAAACAAGACAAAGCAAATGAATTACAGAGAGCATTTTTAGTATGGAGAATAGCTGGCTAATTTCCTTCGAGAAATTTTTAGCTTGAGGGGGTCTGAAAATCCAGTGGAGGAGAGGAGGGTTTTAAAGTCCTACTAGTAGGGTAGCATTTCATTGCCCGTTTAAGTCCAAACACTGGCCTTCAGGGAAAAATCAAACAGTTTTTAACATATCATCTGGGTGGCAGGATTTTACTGATATGAAACGTGCTCCCATAACTTTTGCTTTACAGTCCATTATTTAAGAAAATACTTATAATTCTTATTCTGAAAAACATTTTTAAAATTTAAAGCTTGTTGCGTGTGAGTTTTTAAGCAACATAATTGCTTTTGAAACATCCACTGGTTATAGTTTCATAAGCAAACATAAGCCTTCGAAGACTTAAGCAATGCTTTCACCACCAACCAAGACCAGATACTCTAAACTTTGCAAATATTGAACAACCAAGTGTAGTGCATCAAGTTGAAAGCGAAGGATACTTCACATTATCTTTGTGACTATAAATTATGTGTTTTCTTCCAGAGTATACAAATGACCCAGGCAAGGGCAATCAGAAATTATGCTTTACAGAATCAGGATTGAAAGATCTAAACCAGACAGTATTCCTATGGAAAACGATCTGGAAACTAAGTTACAAGTGAGTACACATTCAACTCTCAACTGCCAAACCTAAATCACATGCAGAATCATTTAGACTTTTTCTAATGTACTACATGCTTAGAATTAATAATGCAAAGAGAATCTCAAACTCTCTACTACCTATAATAGCCCCTGATGATGGTACAGAAATTAGTGTTTGTTTTTGGGATCTAGAATAACTAAACATGAGAAAAAAAGGCTTTCCTGACTGGACAGATATATGCACACATGGTCTATATGATCCTCTAGGCAGAACATTACTTATTTTTCCAAAGCACTAGTTAATAGTTATCCCTTTAGAACATACACACAGCTCATTATATGACAAGCTAGAATAATGAAGCCAATTAACTTGTCTATTTCTGTTACAAAAAAAAAAAAAAAAAAAAGCATTACTCAGGAACATACTGCTGAATGATTTTAGGTACAGGAAACCAAAGAGCTAGAAGATGAAACAACAGAGTCAGAATATAATGATCTGTAGAG